TTACATAGGAAAATACAAAAGCTAGGTCTGGAAAGCCAATACATAGCCGATGAAGCCCTGAGCTTCTTTTGTGGTGTGATGGACGGCTTAGCTTTTGTTCCTTTATGTGATGTGAGCAATGCAATGGCATTCCTGAGATCAGTTACTCCGACCAATGGTAAAGATATTCTTGAATATTTTGATAGAAATTACATCAGGGTCATTCCATGTCAAATCAATCACTCTACAACCCGACCATCTCAGATTTTGTTAAAATTTGGTATTTAAGTTAGTAAAGTATTGTAAGTGACGAATCCAAAATATTAGACTCTTAACTCTATTAGAACCGGAGATATCGGGCTTCAAAGTGGCTCAGCTTGGACATTTTTTGAAAAAAATGAATTTTTAAAATTGGGATAACTTTTATACTAGATGCACTATGTATATCTATTATGTCTCATTTTATAGCCCTAAGTAAACTCTTGAACGTATGTTAAATAAAATTAATTTTTAGTTTATATATTTTTCTTAAATTGCGGTTAAAAATTTGTGATTAATTTTTTAAATTGTTAGACTAAAAATTTTTTTCTAAATTTCAGATATTTTGTAAAGATTACCAAGAACTGTTCATATAAAAAATTTCAGAGTGGGCCCAAAAATATTAATTAGAAAAAATCTCATTTTTGAAAAATCCGCTAGATGACGTCGGTAATTTAAAATATTAATTTTAACAATATAAGTCAAATTTTTTTTATTCCATAATAAAATATATATCGAATAATTAATAATAGTAAGCTTAAAATAATTTTAATTAAATTATCGATTTTTCGAAAAAATTTTTCCAATAATTTATCGTCTGTTATTTTTCCTAAAATTTATAATTTTTAAAATTAATTAATTTATTAATATTTTATTAAAATGTTTTGTACAAATCCATTAAATCTGCCAAATCATTATTCCAAAAAAGGACTTCGTAAAGTCAGTATTTGGATGACAATGTATTATAAAATTAACAAAGGAGATTATATTTGTCCTAAATGTCGCAAATCTTTATATAAAAAGAAGAAAGATGTTTCAATTTTAGAGGATAGTAACATAGCTACAACCTCAAATAATTTCCTAAACTCCATCCATATAGAAAATAATTATCCAAATAATAACGATAATGCGCAAATCCCTACAATTTTTTTAGAATCTTTAAATTCTACTTTAGATCAAATGGGGCATTCACCAATAAAAAAAATGAGACTAAGAGAGAAAGGATATCCCAAGAAAAAACTTGGCAGAATTTCAACCGCGATTGCCAAAATTCTTCAACCCAAAACGAATACAAATGGTAGCGAAGATTTAATAACTCATATGAAAAATAATTATCCATTATTGTCGGAAACACAAAAATATCTTTTATTAACGACATTACCTCCAAATTGGAGCATTCAAAAAATTAAAAAACAATTTAACGCTTCGTTTTATATGATCCGTAATTCAAAATTTATTCTTGGTCAAAAGGGGATTCTTTCAACCCCCAATCCGAGAGCAGGTAAAACCATAAATCAGGGCACAGTTGACACTGTAAAAAGTTTCTATTTAAATGACGAATATAGTAGATTATTACCCGGAAAAAAAGATTGCGTTTCTATAAATGAAAATGATGAAAGGATTAACGTTGAAAAAAGGTTAATTCTTAATAATTTAAAAGAAATCTATATAAATTTCAAAACTATCTACCCTTCTCTTAAAATCGGATTTTCAAAATTCGCCTCATTGCGCCCTAAAAATTGCATAATGCCAGGTTCAAGTGGCACTCACTCGGTTTGTGTCTGCCTAATCCATCAGAATGTTAAGTTGCTAATAATAGGTAGCAATTTAGCAACTTTAACAAAAAATATGGATTTTGAGATAAAGACTTACAAAGACATAATTCCAAAAATAATTTGTAATCCTCCCCTACCAGCCTGTTATTTTGGCGAATGTCATGAATGTCCGGGGGACCAAGAATTAAGGGCTAAATTAAAAAATTTATTAATTGCACATGATATATACAGGATAACGTTCAAGCAATGGATATCTGTAGATAGAACCAGTCTAGAAACCCTAACGCAAACAGCTGACGAATTTCTTAATTACTTATTTGAAAAAAATATTTATTTTGATTCGCCATGCTTTTATTACTGAACAACAAAACAGATTCCATCAGAATCTTAAAAATAATTTAGAGCATAATCATTATTTGATTATCTGTGATTTTTCTGAAAATTACTCATTTATACTTCAAAAGTTATCACTGGGCCACTTCCCAGGTTACTCTACATCCATTTGGTATATATTATAAAATAAGTATTAAATCATATAAGTTATGTGGCCATATCTGAATCGCTGGAACATAACACTTGTTTATTTTATTTATTCCAAAAAAAATTGATAAATTTTCTAAAAAATTACTTTTTATCCGATCCAAAATACATTTTTTATTATTCCGATGGATCCGCGGCTCAATATAAAAATAGGAAAAATTTTATAAATTTGTGTTATCATCAAGTAGACTTCGCCATCCCAGCAGAATGGCATTTTTTTTCTACAGCCCATGGGAAAAATGTTTGCGATGGAATAGGGAGAACCGTTAAACGCTTGGCTGCGCGGGCCAGTTTACAACGTCCTTATGATAATCAAATAAAATCTCCCTATGAATTCTTTAAATTTGCTGAGGAAAATATAAAAATTATTTATTTTTCCTATACAACCCATAAAGAATACCAAGATGAGCAAGAATTTTTGACGGAACGATTTGCAAGAGCTCTTTCAATTCCTGGTACTCAAAAAATTCATGCAGTCTATCCTGTTAATTTATCACAAATAAATACAAAAAAATATTCCAGTGCTATTGAAGCCAAATTAGAAAAAATACAAAATATAATAAGCGAAATATCAACTAAAGATATTAAAGGGTATGTTACATGTTTATGTGATAATGAATGGTGGGTAGCATGCATTCAAGATATTATTAGCGATGCTGAAATAAAGGTAATTTTTTTACATCCAAAATAACCTTCTCAATCCTTTTATTATCCATCAATACCAGATATTCTAATTATTCCGATAAATGATATTCTCACAATTGTCAACCGACAGCCACCGGAAGAACATACACTTTAACTAATAATGAATCTAACTTGGCAATATATAAATTGCTTACTATTATTAATTATTCGATATATATTTTATTATGGAATAAAAAAAATTTGACTTATATTGTTAAAATTGATATTTTAAATTACTTACGCCATCTAGCGGATTTTTCAAAAATGAGATTTTTTTTAATTAATATTTTTGAGCCCACTTTGAAATTTTTTATATGAACAGTTCTTGGTAATCTTTACAAAATATCTGAAATTTGGAAAAAAATTTTTAGTCTAACAATTTAAAAAATTAATCACAAATTTTTAACCGCAATTTAAGAAAAATATATAAACTAAAAATTAATTTTATTTAACATACGTTCAAGAGTTTACTTAGGGCTATAAAATGAGCCATAATAGATATACATAGTGCATCTAGTATAAAAGTTATCCCAATTTTAAAAATTCATTTTTTTCAAAAAATGACCAAGCTGAGCCACTTTGAAGCCTTATATCTCCGGTTCTAATAGAGTTAAGAGTCTAATATTTTGGATTCGTCACTTACAATACTTTACTAATTTAAATACCAAATTTTAACAAAATCTGAGATGGTCGGGTTGTAAAGTGATTGATTTGACATGGAATGACCCATCAATGGAGTATCAAGAAGCAATTCTCAATCCCAGACACGTCGAATTGGGTCTCGATTTCCTCCAGAAACTTAAAACGTGAATGAGAGCACTCTATCCAACAAAGAACGCACAAATAATCAATGCGAAGGTTGGAATCATCGTTTTTCTAATCTGGTTGGGAACAAATACCCATCAATCTAGTATTGATTAAAAAAATGAAAGGCGATGTGGCTGCCGATGAAACCAAACTTGAACGATGGCGTGTAGGTAGTTGGAAACCAAAAACAAAATCGCAGAGTTACAATACACAGATTCGGTTAAAGAAACTTTGCGAAGAATACCGTAATGGGATGCCAAGTCTTCCAGATTTTATGAGGGCGATTCCTTCAATATTCAATGTCAACCGATATAATTACTATTCTAAATTATAAAATTTGTATATACATAATAATGATTTTTCAATAAAATAAACAGATATTATTGCAAATTTTGTCAAATTTAGTCTACTCAATATAGTAATTTAGGATGGATATTGTATTTATTACTATAGCAAATAATTTTTCCAAAAATAAGTAATACATGGGTTATTTTGGTATTTTTTTGTCCCAGTACCAATTTGAACATCAGCATTTTTTATTGAGGGTATATGAGTATCTTTAAGTAATGAATTGGGGACTAAAAAAAATTTATTATTAAATTATATTTCTATAATATTTTTTTCTAAAATACTAATTTGTCTATACCTTATTAAATCCAAATAAAAATATACTGATATTATTAGATCTTAAGCGTATTCGAAAAAAAAATTTTGGGGTTTTTTTCTGGGATTCGTTTCAGAATATTTAAATTTGAATTCCACAACATCGTTGCAATTTATAATTAAACATTAAAAACTTTTAGAGCATGATAGAAATACACAGAGTGAGATTCAAGTTGAAGATAATGAGCAAACATCCAGTTCTTATATACCTATGTAAACATCCTACCAAGCAATCATTATAACAACATTAGTAATTTAGAACAAGAATGTCTATTAACATAATTTATAATAATAAATATTAGCAATATTTAATATGTTAACCATGTTATTAATTAATTTAATGTTTATTAATGTAATATAGTATTTTATCATTATGAAAGTTCTCATTTATTATCAATACATTGATTTTGTTTTCAATTTATTTTATGTAATATTCAAATTGCAATGTATACACTAATAAATAAGATTTTAAAAAACAATGCATTTTATTTATGAATAAAATAAAATCTTTACTTTCATAGTAATCATGTATAAATAGAAGACACATTAAATAACCAGCTTTACCATATAAAATTTCATTTGGAGATTGGTCACTGTCTTTTTTTTTCTCAGCAATATATTCATGCATTTTTATTAATCTTTAATTCAAGTAAAAACATTTTTTTAAATAATAACATACTTGATTAAACAATCATTTCTTTTTGCAAATTGGTTAAAATGAGTAAACACTAAAAATCTTACATATAATAGACCTGCCAAACCATTAATTAAAGATGGCCTATTTACATGTTTTGTTAATAAGTAATCAATGTTTGGTATATTAGCATAATATTTTGCCTTTGTTAACAAAGAATTCAATATATCAGATAATTTATCATCTTTATATCTTAACAAATTTTTAAAATGTGATTCCATAAATTTTTTCCCATAATGATTAGATAATAACAATATTCTTTGATATAAATGGATATAAAAGTAAGAATGACCTAGCCAAGTTTTTATATCTTATTAACTAAAATTTTTTACCTGAAACACCAGTATATATTGTATAATTGTAGTTAATTAAATTTTCATCACTCATTTCAGATTCATATGTTTCAAATAAATTAAAGAAAACTTGTAAACACTTGTTTGCTAAATCAGATTTTAGCTAGAAAAAGTTGTATATAATTATAAATAACCTAAAATTTACAAAACTATGTGAAATTATTTGATTATGCTGCAAGTTCAGAGATATGTATGGATTATTTAAATATTTTTTACTTATATCAGCCATAATGCTTATTTTTATAAGTAAAAAAATTTAAAAATTACAATACGCAATAAAATAATGTGCCCAATATTTATATAAAGATTTAGGTCACAGTCATGTTTGACAGGTATTTTTCCTGTCACATTTTACTGATTGCATAATGAGATATGAACTTAAATTAATTTAAGTAGTGTTTGTTGTAGATTTTATATAATATTACTTAAAATAAAATATCATTTATTATGCATTTAAATCTTATTAATATGTTAAAAAAACATACAACCATTTAATAAAATATAATTTCATAAATAAATAATATTAGTAAATGATACGATTTAGAAAAAAATCATAATAACAAAAAGATAATATTAAAAATAAATAATAAATAAAGTAAAATACAAAATAAATAAGCTAATCCAGCACATTTATTCAAAACCTCCTCCCCATCAGAAGAGATTGAATTGATGAAACAAATATAATTATCCATAAAAAAACCTTCGTGTGGCTCAACATAATTTTTCCTGTTTAGGCGACCAACGTCTTTAAAAAATTTTTAGCCAAATCACCATATGTTGTTAAAGTGGGGCAAATGATTGGTACGAATATGTAATTAGAAGAATCAGGGCTGTATTTGGTGATCTTAAAATCTTAAGCTCTGTTCAGAGCATCCTTGTTAAAATTGTAAGGGGGTTCGTGTCCAGACAAGAAAAATTCCATATTAGAAACTTTCCTTATGACCATGGAATTTGGTGATTCCATAAGGACGCCTACCATCAGAAAAGAGATCAGAAGGTTCCAATAAGGTAGGAAAACCAGTTGACCTAAGTGCAAGAGATATGACTTGATTGCACCTCGAGTGTCTGGTTTGCAGACTGGTATTTAGTGTTGTTAAATGGTTGGTTTTTTTTTGACCACGACCCCGAGTCAAAGTCGTAAAAATTGGCCCAACCCAGAGCCAGGGTCGAAAAATCGACCACGACCCAGCCTGACCCATTGGGCCTGTTAAGCCGACCCGGGTTGGCATACTGGGTCGGTCTGCTTGGTCGACTTGCTGGGTCGGTCTGCTGGGTCGGCCTGCTGGGTTGGCTTGCTGGGTCAATTTGTTGAATATATAGAAAATTAAACTAGTTTGTTTTAATCCGGGTTCATTGTTTTTGATATTAGAAAGATGTTTTTTTTAATTTATTTATAAGTAAATTATAACTTTTTATATCTTCTTATCTTATCTATCATATTGGTCATAGATCTGCCGAAAGTAAGCGAATGTGAATTATAAGGAGGCCCACCCTCCCTATAATTTTGCTGAATTTTTTTTCTCAGGGATACCAACACTTGTACAGATGTATATTTATCAAAATGAGTGGAATTACGCCCTATCCAATTTGTAGTTCTAGAGTGAGGTATAGTTATGGGTGTGAAGGAGAAAAAAGTAAGAAAATAAAATATCTTCTAAATACAAAATAGCTATTAATTATTTACTTAAAAAAAATTTCATTTTAGATATTGTATTTTAAACTAAATATTATGTAATCAGTAAAATACATATGACTTGATAGATTTTCCTAACGTTATATATTTTTAACTTCACTTTGTAATAATTATATTTTGCTTCTCATAGTTTTTTTCTAACATCAAATTTATATACCTTTATCATACTATTTGGGTCTATAAGGTAAGGTGCCTAGTCATGATGAATATTAATCTTATACGGATGTATAAAATAACATTATCATAAAAAATAAAATTTTATAGGTAAGATATAGTTAATTTAGAAAACTAGAAAACATTAATTTAGAAATTAAAAGTCAAGAGAGTAATAGATATATTTTATTTATTTGTTATAAAATATCTATAAATAATCAAAAAGGGTGTAACAAAATGCCAGAAAAATATCTTAAAAGAAAAAAAATATTTTGAAAAAAAATTGATATTTTTTTTAAATTATAAAATGATGTGAAGTTTTATTTTGTTCCTCTGTTTATATTTTCGTTCGATTAAAGAAAATTTTCTTTGCAGCCCGATATATAAACCAACATATTTTTATTTTAAAATATAATATTTTTACTTTTATATAATAATATGTTGTGATGATTTAATGAAACATATTGACCATATTTTTCAGTTTTATAAGCATTATTGAAATTTCTTTTATTTCTTTTGTTGTACATTTGTAAAGATTATAATTATATATGCATGTGTTTAAATTACTTTTATTAAAATAAAATTTTTATTACTTTTATTAAAACAAGTTTTTTTTTTAATTTTAAAAAATTGATTACTTTTATAAATTGTGGACCAGGATGACATTATTTTCACCCCATTAGACAGTTTATCATTCTTGGATGATTCCACAAATTTCTTTGAATCTTTACTATTGAATAGTCAATCTCAATTTGGTAAAGATCTTCAGGTAAATTTATATTTCTGTTAGCTATGTTATAAAATCATATAAATGATAATTTTTTAAAGATATTAGATAAAAGTTTGATCCCGTTGAAATCTAGCAATGATCTTTGCAAAAAAATATTTGTGGAAACACCGAAGAAAGGGTTCCACGTCAATTCGGCGCGGAAAACTCGGCGCGGCGTCAATTCGGCGCATCGTCAATTCAGCGCGGCTACAACTCGGCGCAACGTCAATTCGGCGCGGCGACAATTCGGCGCAACGTCAATTCAGCGCGGCGTCAATTCGGCGAAACGTCAATTCGGCGCGTATCTAATACAGTTGCAATTTATTATAAATTTATTAGTATAAAAAAAAGGATGATTAAATAGAAATGATTTTGAATGTTGGTCATATTAATTATTTCTTCGTATTTTTTTTTACAAAAATCTCAATTTTATTTACTAAATGTGTAATATCAATAAAAAAAAATTAACAAATACCGATTTCCTTACTGGACCAATTTACCACATTATAAGGTAGGGGAGACTGGGGTTAGTCGAACCGATTTTTAAATTGGCTATAGCTCCTGGTTTTTTAGATAATATAAAAAAAATATATGATTAGATACCTAAAACTATACTCTATAAAGGTTCCTTATAAAAAATTTTAAGAATATAATCATTTTTTTTTTGAATTTTACTTTTTGTAAAAGAACAATTTTGTCCAACAAGCCCCAATAGCGGGTAAATTAAGGCAAGTTATATATAAAAATTGAAACTTAATTTTGGTTAATTTAATAAACATTTTGTATTTTTTTATTTACTAACTGCCATAATTGACGTGTATGTTTTAGCAAGCCCTGCTAACTCTAAATTTCTGGATATAATAAATACTCATAAAACTTTCCCAAATTATAAAAACTTCATCAATATTTTATTTCTTAAATAAAATTTTTAATAATTATTTCAAAAGATTTTTTGTCTATAGACGTAAACTAATAAAACTATATTATGATAAAATTTTAACCTTCTGGTGTATTTAATTTTAAGATGAGATTAAGTGGTTTGCCAAGCCCCGGTACCTAACCCCAGTCTCCCCTATTTTGATTAGTAGCCAATATTGTGTAAGCGAGATTTTGCGCTAAATGTAAGAAAAGTTTGGACTTCTATCTCTAATCTTACATGTTATTATGGCTAAAATCTTAATCGAACCAAATCGGACGTTTAACAGCACTAATGTTGATCCAATAAAATTCAAATTAAGACTGATTCATTTTTTAGATTTATTAAAAATCCTTAAAATAATTCTATTAATCATTTTAAATATATATTATGTTTAACTAATTTTTTCTATTATAAAATAATCAAATTTCATGGCTGTTTATGATTGGTATTTAGGATTTATGCTAAGAAATCGTAATATCTCCTTTATGTCCAAAATGTTTATTAAATTAACCTAAATTAAGTTTCAATTTTTATATATAATTTGCTTCAATTTTTATATATAATTTGCTTCAATTTATAAGTATTATGATATTTTTAACAATAAAACAATAAAATTATTCTATACGTATCATTATTAATAAATAAAAATGCATTTCAATTTATTATGGCTAAAAAAACCAATGATTTAGGAAGCCCCTTGAATTTGCCTCACCCCGCTATTGGGGCTTTTTGGATATTATTTTTACTTTTTCAAAAAGTAAAATTTAAAAAAAATGATTATATTCTTAAAATTTTTATAAGGTACCTTTATAGAGTATAGTTTTAGGAGGTATCTAATCATATTATTTTTTATATTATCTAAAAAAATCAGGAGCTAAATTTTGTAAAAATCAGTCCGACTAACCCCAGTCTCCCCTACCTTATAATGTGGTAAATTGGACCAGCAAGGAAATCGGTATAAATATTGGTTGTTAATTTTTTTTATTGATATTACACATTTAGTAAATAAAATTGAGATTTTTGTAAAAAAAAATAAGAAGAAATAATTAATATGACCAACATTCAAAATCATTTCTATTTAATCATCATTTTTTTATACTAATAAATTTATAATAAAATGTATCTGTATTAGATACACGCCGAATTGACGTTGAGCCGAATTTTCGCCGCGCCGAATTGACGTTGCGCCGAGTTGTCGCCGCTCTGAATTGACGTTGCGCCGAGTTGTCGCCACGCTGAATTGACGATGCGCCGAATTGATGCCGCGCCGAGTTTTCTGCGCCGAATTGTCGTGCGCCGAATTTTCCGCGCTGAATTGACGTGATACCCGAAAATTTGTAACGAACGATGATTATAATTAATATATTTTTTTTACCTTGTTTAACCTTCGTTTTTAAGTAATAAGATTAGTATTGTTAAATAGCTGAGCCAAACCAACTTAGCCCTAAACTCAGTCAGTTTTTGAGTCGAAAAATCGACTCAGACTCAAGTCGGCTCAGTAGTTGGCTCAAGCCGACTTTTGAGCAGAAATTTATTTATTTGTGAATAAGAATTTTAATATTATAATTATGTAGAAATAGTGTGCCATCTCTATTTTGAGGGAAAAAATTTAAACTAGCTCGATGAGCAACATGAGTGAGCTAGCTAAATTTGTTCCATAACTTTTAGATGGCACT